AAAAACTGCTTTAAAGTTCATATGGAACCAGAAAAGAGCCCGCATTGCCAAGACAATCCTAAGCCAAAAGAACAAAGCTGGAGGCATCACACTACGTGACTTCAAACTATACTGCAAGGCTACAGTAACCAAAACAGCATGGTACTGGTACCAAAACAGAGATGTAGACCAATGGAACAGAAAAGAGGCCTCAGAAATAACACCACATATCTATAAGCATCTGATCTTTGACAAACCTGAGAGAAACAAGAAATGGGGAAAGGATTCCCTATTTAATAAATAGTGCTGTGAAAACTGGCTAGCCATTTGTAGAAAGCTGAAACTGGATCGCTTCCTTACACCTTATACAAAAATTAATTCAAGATGGATTAAAGACTTAAATGTTAGACCTAAAACCATAGAAACCCTAGAAGAAAACCTAGGCAATACCATTCAGGACATAGGCATGGGCAGGGGTTTCATGTCTAAAACACCAAAAGCAATGGCAACAAAAGCCAAAATAGACAACTGGGATCTAATTAAACTAAAGAACTTCTGCACAGCAGAAGAAACTACCATCAGATTGAAAAGGCAGCCTGCAGAATGGGAGACATTTTTTGCAATCTACCCATCTGACAAAGGGCTAATATCTAGAATCTACAAAGAACTCAAACAAACTTACATGAAAAAAAGAACTCCATCAAAAAGTGGGCAAAGGATATGAACAGGCACTTCTTAAAAGAAGACATTTATGTAGCCAACAGACACATGAGAAAATGCTCATCACCACTGGCCATCGGAGAAATGCAAATCAAAACCACAATGAGATACCATCTCACACCCATTAGAATGGTGATCATTAAAAAGTCAGAAAACAACAGGTACTGGAGAGGATGTGGAGAAATAGGAACACTTTTACACTGTTGGTGGGACTGTAAACTAGTTCCACCATTGTGGAAAACAGGAAGGGGATCGTCACACACCGGGGCCTGTCGTGGGGTGGGAGGAGGTGTGAGGGTGGAGGGATAGAATTAGGAGATATACCTAATGTAAATGACGAGTTAATGGGTGCAGCACACCAACATGGCACATGGATATATATGTAACAAACATGCACGTTGTGCACATGTATCCTAGAACTTAAAGTAAAAAAACAAAAACAAACAAAAGAAAAACACCAAAAAAAAGGCAAAAGGTATGCTATAAAATAACAACAAAAAAAGTCAGTTTAATAGCATTGATACTAAACAACTAAGGAGATAACACTAGCAATAACCCAGTCTAATTTATGAACGTAGAAGCAATAATCCTAAATATCCAGAAACATATTAAATTATATGATATTATGACCAAGTAGATTTTACTCCAAGATTGCAAGGATGGATTGAGGTTACTGTGATTGAGTACGTTGACAGAGTAAAAGAAAACAGGCCAACAGATGCGGAAAAATTAGTCAATACAATTCAATACCCATTCATTTTTAAAAGAAAGCTAAACCTCTTAAACTAGAATTAAAAGAGAGTTACGTTAACTTGATGAATCTATCTGCAGGACTGTATGGGAAATGTCATGCTTTGTGGTGAAACATCAGGAACATTTTTATTCAAGTCAGAAATAAGATCAAGATACTTAGAGTTACCAATGCTGTTTGTCCTTAAAGTGGAGATGCTAGCCCATGCACTAAATCTGGAAGAAAAAATGGTGGTAAGAATGGGGAAAAAGCCCAAATTTCAGTTATTCAGAGACCATCTGATTATCTACCAGAAAGCTTTAAAAAATCCATTGACAAATTCCCAGATCTTAAAGAGAGTATGTGTGCAAGATGGCCAGATCTGAGTAGCATACTTAATTTGCCTTCCTCTTCACCAGCAAACATGTAAGAGAAAAAAATACACTTCACAATTGTAATAGTATTAAAATGCACAGTAGTTATAAAAGAAACCCATGAATAACCCCAAACAATACATGTGTAAGACTTCTTTGCAGAATTTTGTAAATTATTATTAAATAATATAAAATTACTAAATAAATGGAGAAATAAACTTAATTATTACTCGATCTGAAAAATCAATATTATAAACAGTTGATTCTACCAAAAAATAATCTTTAAATTCAAATTAATCCCATTCAGAATCCCAACCAGTTTTTGAAAATGAAACTGACAAGTTGATTCTAAAATTTATTTAGAAAAGTAAATTTGTAAGTGTAGTGAAGATGGTTTTAAAAAAGAACAAAGATGAGCATATTTTCCTTAGCAGTTTTGGAAACATTATTAAGTTATAGTAACTAAAATGTGTGTTAATGGTGCATGAATCACCAGTGTAACAGAAGAATGTCCAGAAACAGAGCCATGTTTATATGGGAACTTCGAAATACCTTTTTATGTTGTTAATGACTTTCTGGTATTTTTAAGATTATCAGATCATAGTGACAAAGGATGGGGTTACTAGTAATTTCCAAAAGTAATAAAGCTACTTTAAATTATTATTTCCTACCCTCAAACTGTTACTTACATTCTTTGAAATTTTTCAGCCTTTTTTTCAGAGTTTTGAATCTCCTAAAAAAAAAAAATATAACCAGAATTATATGTTAAAGGAAGATCTTATCATTATCTAATGTCTCAATGATAACTAAAGTAACATCTCTAAGATGAGATCATTTTGATCACTTTTTTGAATCTTAGGGGCTGCAGTTGTGGGTCCTCCTGGCCCTCCTGGATTTCCTGGAGAAAGGGGTCAGAAAGGTGATGAAGGACCACCTGGAATTTCCATTCCTGGACCTCCTGGACTTGATGGACAGCCTGGGGCTCCTGGGCTTCCAGGGCCTCCTGGCCCTCCTGGACCTCACATCCCTCCTAGTAAGCTATATTTTTCTCCTATTAAGTTCTTTTTTTGTTTTTGTTTATTTTGTTTATAAGTAACTCTAGCTAAAGGTTGGCCTCATTTGTTGCATTTCTGATATCTAAGAATTTCTACTACTGCTTTACTTTTTGGGTTTTGGTAGTTCTTGGATGTTTACATTTGCTCTTCAAATAGTATTTATCAACAATGTTATATTTTCCTTTTGCTTATAGGTACTTGTATTTCTTCAGAGAAGTAACTGAAAAGCTTGTCAGGCTTTCTTTTGTTTAATCTTCTTGATATTTCACAACAATTAGCTTACTATCCTTTGTTTATCTTACTCAGGTGATGAGATATGTGAAGCAGGCCCTCCAGGCCCCCCAGGATCTCCAGGTGATAAAGGACTCCAAGGAGAACAAGGAATGAAAGGTTTGATCTCCAGACATATTCATTTCTTCATTTTCTTCATTCTTTCAAATCATCAGCAAAATCCCCTGTATCATCCGTCACACCTTAGCCACTGATTCCCATGGTCATACCCCAAGACCATCTCATTACCAATAGTGTTATACTTACATGATCTTGGTTTCATGCATCCCATTTTTTGCATCGTTCTCTTCTTTCTAGCTTACTACCTCTAGTAACCTGACTCCAGCAATACTCCAACCCCACTGAGACCTAGCAACTTTGACTAATGCTTAACTTTTTGATGTCCTTTCTTCCCTCTTAACCTAGCTTAAATTCCATTATCAATCACTGTAATCAATTCTATTCATAAATCCATGATTCCTTTGCCCTTCTCTCACTTCATTATACTCACTTGGAACAAAAGCATTATCCAAATTTCCACATTTTCTGAGCCTGCACTTTTTCTTCTCTTCTCAAATTTTAGCAGTTCCTCCCCTATTCTGACCTTGCTTCCTATTTCACTGACCAATTAAAGCAGTAACAAGAGAACTTTCACAGATTGTCACCACCATATTTACTTACCTACTTGTGCCTGTGCTCATAGTCTCCCTTCTTGCATATAACTACTGCTCCTATCTAAAGCCAGTTCTTCTATTTATACAATAGATTCCATTTCCTCTTATTTCCCCAAGGATTTTTTTCCAGCAATTTTTGCCTCTCCCACATCACCAATTTTTTCCCTCTCTATTCAGTCATTCCCAGGAGCATACAAATATGCTTTTTTCACCTATCTAAAAAAAGTAGGATAATCCTACATTCCCTGCCAGCTGGTTCTCTATTTTTCTATTCCCATTTGCAACAAAACTTCCTAAGAATTTTCTACTCTCCTCTTGTTTTCTCTTAAACATAACTCCAATCAGGATTTTATCCCCTCTTCCCCCAACTCCCCACTGCCTACCACTCCACAAATGCTGGTCAGTTGCCAGCAGTCTATATCCTGCTAATCCAAATGTCAGGTCTGTCCTTTTTTTGCTTGCTTTTTGCCTTTTTTAAACATTTGCATCCCTTGGCTTTCAGTACATTACATTTCTTGTTCTTTTTCATTCCTCTATGGTGTACATACGTGTGTGTGCGTGTATGTGTATCCATCTAATTACCATCTAAACCAAAATATAGAACATTTTCAGGACCCTGGAAGACTCTTGTACTCCCTACTCAGTACCCCCCAAAGGTAATCACTATTTTATCCTCTGGCATATATTAATTTGCCTAATCTTGAACTTTGTGTACATGGAATTATACTGTATGAGCTCTTTTATGTCTGGTTTCTTTAGCTAAATATAATATATGTGAGATATATCTATGTTTTTGTTTGTTGCAGTATTTTTCCACCATTCTTTGGTTTTCCACTGCACATTACCTCAGTATTCTAGTGTTGATGGACATTTGGTCTGGAGCTATTGTGAATAAAGCTGTCATAAATATTCTTGTACATGTATTTTTTGTAGGACATAAACACTAATTTTTATTGGAGATATATCTGGAAATTGAATTGCTGGATTACAGGGTAGGTGTAGGTTTTGTTTCATAGATATTACCAAACCATGTTCCAAAGTGATTTTTGTTAGCATTTGCTTAGTGACTTGATTATGAACTACTTTCTTTTGGTTTTTATATTCTCTTTTGTAAAGTGCCTGTGTTTATCTTTAATTTTATTATTGGATATGTGTATTAAAACTATCTTGTCTTTTGTTAACTTTTGTTTAACAGAAGTTGCTAATTAAATGAAATCAAATTAATCAATGTCCTGTTTTATCGTTAGTACTTTTTATGCACCGTTTTAGAAATCTTTACTTACCTCAAAGGTCTTATGATATTCCTCTGTGTTTTCTTCTAGACACTTTATTGTTTACCTTTCGCATTTTGATCTTTCTTCAATTAATTTTTGTGTGTAGTTTGGAGTAGGGATCAAAGTTCATTTTTCCCATATGGATGTCCAGTTGAGTCAGTACTATAGAACAAAAGATCATCAATTATCCCAATGAATTGCATTAGCACTTTTTTGTAGATCATATGACCATATGTGTGTAGGTCTGTTTCTGACTGCTGTATTCTCTTCTGTTGTTTCATTAGTCTCTCCTTGCACCAATGCGATGCTATCTTAATTACTGTGGCTTTATTGTAATTCTTGGATATTCTAGGTTCTTTGCATTTTTGTATGCATCTTAGAATTATCTATCCAACTTTTAAGTTTAAAATGCTCCAAGATTGAATCCTTGTTCTTCTTTTCTATCTAAACTCATTTATTCAGTCTCGTGATTGTTAATACCACGTAATTGCCCAGGACTTCCAAATTTCTGCCTCCTATCCAGATATAACTGTTTTCCTCTAGATTTGTGTATCCATTTGCCTAGTCAACATTTTGAATTTGACATCCTGATCAAACTGAAGTCTTGATTTCTGCCACCTCCTCCCCATAGTTGCCCACTCACATCTTATGCTTCTTACTTAAAAAGCAGGCCACTTTAGTCTTCTAGTGGCTCATGCTGAGAACCTTGGAGTCATCCTTGATTCCCCTCTTCTTTTGTATTTCATATATGATCCATGAGAACATCCCATTGGCTCTACTTTCAGATATGTATATAATCTAACCGGTTCTCATCATTTTCATTGCAGTCACTCTGGGATGAGCTACCACCATCTCTCTCCTAGATCGTTGCGACAGTAGCCACTTAAGTGGTTACCCTGTTTCCATCATTGCCTTTAGAAGCTATTAACATAGCAGCTAGAGTCATCCCTTAAAAATTTAAGTTATAACAAGTTGCTTTTTTAAAAAAAAATTTCTACTAGATTCTCATTTCACTCACAGTAAAAACCACAGCCTTTATGTTTCTTATATGCCTATATGCCATTTGTTGTAAACTGTCAACTTTCTGACCTTGTTCCCCTCCCTCATTCTGCTCTAGCAATCTGGTCGGCTTGCTGTTCTTCGTATATACCAAACATAGCTATTCTTTCTGCTTGGAATGTTCTACACTCTTATGCACATGTCATGTCCTTTAAGTTTTATCACATATCAACTTCTCAATCAAGTCTATCCTGACTACCCTATTTAAAATTGCAACCCCCCACCCTTCCCTGAGTATAGTTTTATCATATATCAACTTCTCAATCAAGTCTATCCTAACTACCCTATTTAAAATTGAAATCCCCCACCCTTCCCTGGCATACTCAATACCACTTATGTAGTTCTGTTTTTTCCTATAAAAATAATATCTTTTAAAGCATATTAAATATTTAATATATATTTAATTTTTTTTAGAAAGGGTCTTGCTCTGTCACCCAATCTGGAGTGCAGTGATGCAATCACAGCTCACTGCAGCCTTGATCTCCTAAGTCTCAAGCAATCCTCCCACCTCAACCTCCTGGGTACCTGGCGAGTACAGGCATGCACCATATTGCCTGGCTAATGTTTTTATTTTTTCTGTAGAGATGGGGTTTCGCCATGTTGGCCAGGCTGGTCTTGAACTCCTGACCTCAAGCTATCTGCCTGCCTCAGCCTCCCAAAGTGCTGGGGTTACAGGCATAAGCCACTACACCCTGCCTATACTTAATATTATATTAAAATATTTCATATATGCATTTTGATAATTCATTTCCTTTATGGATTATTATCCTTTTCCCCTGGTAGAATGTGAGGCATGTAGACCTGAATTTTTATCCATGACTTTTATCTTTTGCTCACCAGTGTAACACAAGCATCTGGAACAGTTCTTGGCACACAGTAAGCACTCAGCAATTTATTTGTCATAAATTGATTCAGGATATAGGCTTCTCCAATCCCACTATTAAGTGGAAATGCTGTCCCTTAGTGCTGACATTTTTAGAACCAATCTATTGAAGGTATATGTACCCCTTTCAGTAACATTTGTTTGTTATTATGATTTCACTAGGTGACAAAGGTGACACTTGCTTCAACTGCATTGGAACTGGTATTTCAGGGCCTCCAGGTCAACCTGGTTTGCCAGGTCTCCCAGGTCCTCCAGGTAAACCATTCTGCCTCAGGGCAACCTTCTAAATATTTTTTGGCTAGATTTTGTAGAGCTTATACTTTTAGAATGTTACCGTTTCTCATTTTTATAGCTAGTCACTCATATCTATAAATAATTAAGTATGAAATGCCTCTATTTGTTATCAAATTAATTATGCTCTTGTTTCTAATACCTGAAGCTACCAACATTTTCTATTAAAGCATTTTGACAATATAATTTCGGGAAATATATCTTCCCCATTTTCCATATGAAGAAGAAAATCACTTATACAGAGTCAGACTTCTTTTTTCCAGAATACTGGGAGAAAAGTTCATAATACCTAGCCCCTGAATATAGTTTCCAGTGGCAGAGATTCCAGTCATTGGGGATGTATCACACGTTGTCGTTCAGGAATAGGGGTTCTATCGGAGTTTGACAATCAACTGCCAGTATTCCTCTCTCTATATATAACTCATCTATCCCCCTTTCCAGTCAAAACTGTATGTGATATCTGTCAGACCCTCAACTGTTTCATTTAACTGCCCCTTAGGATATCCCAGTATTCTCTTGAAATTACATTTTATGTTGAGTCAGGGCTGGGAATAGAGACCAGATCTCTTACCTTTCTGTCTAGTGAGTCTATGAAGGACACCAATTCATTTGGAGTTTGGGAATACTTTCAACAAATCTTGTAGACATTATTGGACGTTAGTAATCTAGCCTTGTACCTCTAGTCTCATGGTTCTCAAACTTGAGAGTGCATCACCTGGAGGGCTTTTTGAAGCCCAGACTGCTGAGCCTCACTCTCAAAGTTTCTGATTCAGTAGACCTGGATGAAGGCTCAAGAATTAGCATTTCTAATTAGTAGCCAGGTGATGATGCCACTGGTCCAGGAATCCATTTGGAGAACCACTGCTTTAGTAATGTTTCCTCTAGTCTTTGGGCTGCAAATGTTTCTCATAAACCAAATTTCAGGGAATGACAAACCAAAGAAAGGACTGGTAAGGATCTACAAAAACTGCATAAGTCAGAACAAAGATATTCAGACCTTTTCATAATCTTTTTCTCCCTTTGGCAAATGAAAACATCATAGGAACCCAGGAAACGTTGTGCATAGTATTTGCTAGTTGCAAGGTCTGAGAGGGACAGCTTTGGAGTTGGAAGTTTCTTAGGATACAATATTGTATGTAACATGAAATGTTAAATTTATTTTAAAAAGGATGATTATCTCATTTTGAGAACATAAAAGGAAAATACAAATGTGACTTAAATGGGATTGAATGGGATTCTTATTTTAAAAACTTGACTTTCTGACTTGATGATTTCTGTATGAGCTTTGTCAGGAGTTCAAGCTCAAAGCTTACATTATTATATGTGTGTGTGTGTGTGTGTGTTTGTGTGTGTGTGTGTTAGGATCCCTTGGTTTCCCTGGACAGAAAGGTGAAAAAGGACAAGCTGGTGCAACTGGTTCCAAAGGATTACCAGTAAGTTTTGAGTATATTATAAAACAAAAAGAAGTAGAAGGAAGGCATTTTACACATTGATTTTCAATTATTCATATACATACACACGTATATAATTTCATTTTTCTATTAAGTTGTACTTTGTTTGATTCCTTGACTATTCCTGACTCATATGCCTCACTTGATTCAGCCCTTTGTACATTAAATGTTATTGGGTGGGTTGAAGGGGTAAACTGGAGAGAAGAAAATGTTAGAAAAAAAGAAACTGATTTTCTTTTTCTCTTTCTTCTTTTTCCACTCTTTCTCTTTTTTTCCTTACCCACTTCAGGGCATTCCAGGAGCTCCAGGTGCTCCAGGCTTTCCTGGATCTAAAGGTGAACCTGGTGATATCCTCACTTTTCCAGGAATGAAGGGTGACAAAGGAGAGTTGGGTTCCCCTGGAGCTCCAGGGCTTCCTGGTTTACCTGGCACTCCTGGACAGGATGGATTGCCAGGGCTTCCTGGCCCGAAAGGAGAGCCTGTGAGTTGGTTTGATGTTTTTCATTTTGTGATGTTAAATTTTCACTTAGAAATGTTTTCTAAGTTAATTTAAAGGATGGGCCTGATGCTGAGATAAACACCCAATCAATGCTTAAAACAGTGTGACCATACAGTAATGGCACATTGTTACTGACTGTAGGGTTTCTTCACTACCCTTTTCTTTCACTTGTTTTGTAAACTTATTTTTCTTAACCCTTTAATATTGAATAATATTTTCTATGAATAGGTGGGCAAGAGGTTAAGATGTTTATGAGACAGTATAAGGTTCCCCATCTCTTAACCCCCACATATCTTTCCCTGGGTTTATTTAAACCTCATGACTGGGTATGGTGGCTCACGCCTGTAATCCCAGCACTTTGCATGGCCGAGGTGGGTGGATCACCTGAGGTCAGGAGTTCGAGACCAGCCTGGCCAACATGGTGAAACCCTGTCTCTACTAAAAACACAAAAATTAGCCGGGAATGGTGTTGGGCACCTGTACTCCCAGCTACTCGGGGGGCTGAGGCAGGAGAATCACTTGAACCCGGGAAGCAGAGGTTGCAGTGAGCCTAGATTGCACCACTGCACTCCAGCCTGGACAACAAGAGCAAAACTCCATCACAATAAATAAATAAATAAACCTCATAACCAGCAATTTAACTTGTTTCTTTCTCCCTCTCTCTGTCTCTCTTTCTCTCTCTCTCTCTCTATATATATACACACACACATATATATATATAGTAAGCTTAGAGATCAGTACAAGTAGATAGCCATGTTCAATGTGCCACAGAACTGAAAGATTTAACATAAATGAACAATCTTATTTTGTACATAGCACACAGCCCAGGATATTTAGGTAGGAAGTGATATTTTATAATGTTATCTAGACTATAACCCTTCTGACTTACACTAAAATGTAAGCTGCATAAAGCCAGAGTTTTTTTGTATTTTTGGTTTTCTGTTGTATGACCAGCACTTGACACATAGTAGGAGCCCAAAAATATTTGTTGGAGGAATGAGTAAGTGGAATGATCACACATACCATCCCATAATACCACTCATTTGTATAGCTTTTAAGAAGAACTATTTATGGCTATAGCCTTTCCCCAGTTGTATTCAGTACCAACCTACAGATAGTTGTTGTATCTATATGTTTCTGTATTAAACTTTTCCCTTTTTAGGGTGGAATTACTTTTAAGGGTGAAAGAGGTCCCCCTGGGAACCCAGGTTTACCAGGCCTCCCAGGGAATATAGGGCCTATGGGTCCTCCTGGTTTTGGCCCTCCAGGCCCAGTAGGTGAAAAAGGCATACAAGGTGTGGCAGGAAATCCAGGCCAGCCAGGAATACCAGGTAAGTCTACTGTGTTTTGTGTTAAATTTGGTGCTTAAAAACAGAAATTTATTATGTTTTGGCTACTCATGGCTTCCTTTCCCAAGAGGTGTGATTCCCTGGCCATTTATATTTGAACTCTTCAGAGCATCTTAGCAAGGGATCACAATGTTTTTTGTAAGGGGGTTTCTCTTTAAATCTTCTCTGACTGTTTCATTGTTACTGTTAATTTTGTTCTTTTAAGTACATGATACATAATGCAAAGTTTAATAAATAATTATAGCAGAAACACACAGGTAACTACCACACACATCAAAAAATATAATGTTACCAGCATCCTAGAAACCCCTAACCTTCTCTCCCTGTCATTTCCTAATCACAAGTCCCTTCTTCCTCTACTGTCTTGACTTTTACATAATTTTCTTCCATTACGCCTCTATTTTGTGACCTCTGTATGCATTTTTAAACAGAGTATTTTAATTTTGTTTCTTTTTGAACTTCATGTTAAAGGAATCATAGGGTAAGTGTTTTCTATATTAACTTTTTGTGTGGCTATATATAGTATGTTAATTTTTATTGCTATATAGTATTTCATTGTACGTATGTTTGTGTGTGTGTGCGCGCGTGTGTGTGTGTGTTTTACAGTTGATTGATCCATTCTATTGCTAATGGTCAATTGGGTTATTTACAGTTTGGATCTATTATGAATAATGCTTCTGTGTACAGTCATATAGATAGATAGGTAGATAGATAGATCCCTATATCTCTTTGTGTTCATGTGCTCACACTTCTCTAGGGCAAGAGTTGGCAAACTACAGAACTACAGTCCATGGACCACATCCAGTCTACCACCTGTTATAAATAAAAGTTTTATGTGAACACTTCCCCAACCATTCACCTTTGTCTGTGGTTGTTTTTGCACTACAACTGAAGAGTTGAGTAGTTGCTACAGAGACCGTATGGTCCACAAAGCCTAAAGTATTTACTCTGGTCCTTTACACAAAATGCTTACCAATACCTGGGCTAGGGTATGTGTTTAAGATTAGCATTTTCAAAGCATAGGATAAGTGCATCTTCCAGTTGAGTGGATAATTACAAACTATATCCAGACCAATTGTACCAATTTTTAACTACCACAAGCAGTGTTGAACATTTTATGTTGATTTACATCCTTGGAAACATTTTGTATTGTCAGACTTTTACCTTTTTGCCAATCTGTTGAGTGTGATATTTTGCATTTCTCTGATTATATTAAAGTTTAGCACCTTTTCATGTGTTTATTGGTCATTTGAATTTGCTTTTGTGAAATGCCTAATCAAGTACTTTGACCAATTTTATATTGGATTTTTTTTATTGATTTAGAAGAGTTCTTTATATATTCTGTGTATTAGTTCTTAGTTACCTATGTATTTTGTGAAAAGAAATCTTTACCTATTGTGGCTTGCTATTTTTACTCTGTATGGTGTCTTTAATGAGCAGAAAACAACTTTTACATCATCAAAATTATCAATCTTTTCTCTCATGGTTAGTGCTTTCTGTGTCATGTTTAGGAAATCTTTTTTTTTTTTTTCTTGAGCCCATTTCAAGTTCATGTTTCCATTAATAAGAAGTAGATACACTTGAACTTTGCACGTGTAAAACCTAAATGTACCTATTAGCCAAAAGAAGTATTTTCCTTGTTTACTACAGTTTGATTTTTAATGCTCTTTTGGCCTACATTTTAAAAATACTTACATAGATAACACCCTGTTTTAGGGTTTTCTAAAATGGATGGACAGATGGGTATGATAGATAGATAGATAGATAGATAAACAGATAGATAGATAAGAGGTGATTTATTATGGGAATTGACTTACATGATTATGGAGGCTGGGAAGTCCCACAATAGGTCACCTGTAAGTTGAAGAACTAGGGAAGCCAGTAGCTTGGCTCAGTCCTAGTCTGAATGCCTGAGAACCTGAGTGGCTGCTAGTGCAAGTCCCAGAATCTGAAAGCCAGAGAACCCGGAGTTGTGATGTCCAAGGGTAGGAGAGGATGGGTGTACCAGTTTCAAAAGAGAGAGAGCAGTGAATTCACCTTTTTTTCTGCCTTTTTTGTTGTATCCGGTCCCTCAGCTGATTGGATGGTACCCACACACATTGGGTGAGGGTCGATCATCCTTATTCATTTCACTGATTCAAATGTCAGTCTCTTTTGGAAACAGCCTCACAGACATAACTAGAAATAATGCTTTACCAGCTATATCAGTATCTCTTAATCTAGCCATGTTGAAACCTAAAATTAACCATTATACATCTTGAATCATGGAAGTCCTTAAGGCTGTCATATCCTTTTTCTTTTTGAAATTCTATCCTTCTGTTTTATATCTTTCTTGAATATATAGTGGAAGATTGTTTTTCTTGTGAATTTTTGTTAGTTTACATTTTCAAAACATTACTGATAGTTTTCTTTTTTGTTTTTAATTAAAAAGAGACCTTTAGTCGAGTAAATACTTCTCATTTACCACTGATTTACTCTTGCTTTCAGGTCCTAAAGGGGATCCAGGTCAGACTATAACCCAGCCAGGGGAGCCTGGCTTGCCTGGTAACCCAGGCAGAGATGGTGAAGTAGGTCTTCCAGGTATGTGAGGAATTTATTTCAAAGTATCTTCAACACTGATGGCTTTTTTTTTTTTTTTTTTTTTTTTTTGACGGAGTTTTGCTCTGTCACCCATGCTGGAGTATAATGGGGTGATCTCGGCTTGCTGCAGCAACCTCCAACTCCTGGGTTCAAGCAATTCTCCCTGCCTCAGCCTCCCGAGTGGCTGGGATTACAGGCGCCCACCACCACACCCAGTTAATTTTTGTATTTTTAGTAGAGACGGAGTTTCTCCATGTTGGCCAGGCTGGTATCGAACTCCTGACCTCAGGTGACCCACCTGCCTCGGCCTCCCAAAGTGCTGGGATTATAGACGTGAGCCACTGCACCCAGCCCTGGCGGCTTCTTTCTTTGAACGTTTTCCTTTCCATAACTGCTCTTTCTCCATAGGTGACCCTGGACTCCCAGGGCAACCAGGCTTGCCAGGGATACCTGGTAGCAAAGGAGAACCAGGTATCCCTGGAATTGGGCTTCCTGGACCACCTGGTCCCAAAGGTATGTTGGAATGGGCAGCAGGCAGGGTAGCTTAGAAGATTAGCATGATGTTATTCTTTGATAAAATTCATTCAACAAATAAAATATATTAATTGTACCTTTTTTCTCTGTGCTATAAAGAATGTAAATTAAAAATCTTAGTGTATTTTCATTGTAAGTTCATTCATTATCTTTATCTAAAACAGTCCAGACAGGAAAATATCTACATTTTAGATATGCAAAAGTGATATATAAGCTTAGAAATTACAGGAATTGTCTTTTGTGTTCACCATAGTATTCTCAGGGTTTAGAACAGTTCTTAACACATAGTGTGCACTTGTTATTTATTGAGTTAATGGATTTTTTAAACAGAAAACAGACTTATTGCACATGTGTAGCCAAGTAATATTTTATGCTAAATAATATTTTCTTGATTTATTGAAATTTTTTAGGGCTTATGCTTCAGTTCTGCTTTATTCCTCACAGAATTTATTCTCACAAATGGCAAGAGCACACAGTGGTCTGAGGACAGTTCTTAAATATATCTTTACTCATTTATACAAAATGCTTTCAAAAGTTATCGGGTTTGATTTTATGTGTATATGTATCTATAATATCTGCAGTTAGTTTTAGTCCATTTCCAAAATTATATGGTAGGCCCTTTGTCATACTGCATCCAGATATAAGCAGAAGAAAAGTTCTTGGGCATTTTTGTGTGGAATTCATTCCTTACAATTTAGTTCTATCTTATTATATAATAGTCCTCATTTTCTTCAGAAAAGCATATGTTCCACATACATTAGCTCTATGTGAAAATAAAAGGAATGTAAGGTGATTGAGGGATTGTAAGGCTTAATCTTAGGTAGTAGAATGTCATTGTGCTTTTAACATCTTACTGTTGTCACTAAGCATGATTAGAATGTGGCTTTGGGAATTTGAATATCTTTTTTAAAGTGTCTTTCCTTTGGTGGTTAAAAAATGACTTATCATTTTACAGGCTTTCCTGGAATTCCAGGACCTCCAGGAGCACCTGGGACACCTGGAAGAATTGGTCTAGAAGGCCCTCCTGGGCCACCTGGCTTTCCAGGACCGAAGGTCTGGGACATTTTTATTTAATCCTTCTCATTTTCTTATCTTTCCCACCTTCCTTATTTCTAGCTCTCTATTTTGACTCAGATATCATCCCAAGTCCCAAGTCTTTACTATTAAATATATAGATAAAATAACTTACTATATTTCCATTTAAAAAATATTTAACCCCAAATCATCTTTAATAGTCCAAGAGGTCACATTTGGAGAAAAAAAAAAACAAATTTCTGTACCTATTTTTGAGTGCCCAGTTCTTTGATTAGAGAATACAGGCATACCTTGGAGATATTGCAGGTTTAGTTCCAGACCACCACAATAAAGTGAATATCAAAATAAAGTGAATCACACAATTTTTTTTGTTTCCCAGTACATATAAAGGTTATGTTTACACTATACTGTAGTTTTTAAAGTGTGCAGTAGCATTAGGTCTAAAAAAAAATATGCATACCTTAATTAAAAATACTTTTATTGCTAAAAAATTTTAGCAATCATCTAAGCTTGCAGCAAGTCATAATCTTTATGCTGGGGGAGGGTTTTGACTCAGTATTGATGGCTGCCCACTGATCAGGGTGATGGTTGCTGAAGGCTGGGGTGGCTGTGACAATTTTTTTTTTCCATTAAAATACAATCTATTTTGTTGAAAACAGACAATTAGTGTTTTTTTTTTTTTTTTTTTTTTAAAAAAAAAAAAAAAAAGGCATAATATCCATTCTAAACTGAATGTACAGGCTAATTTTCTCTTCAGGTTTTTTTAATACGTGGGTTTAAATTCCTGAATTAAAGAATTAG